ATTTTTGCATGAGTTGCATTAGTCATATTGCATAGTTAAGAATCATGCATTTTTTCTAACTCTTTCGTTTATTTTGGCTTGGAGTACTAGGTAAGCATTTACTGTCCTTAACATATTACGTTGAATGTTGATTGTTGCCATATCAAAGCATGCTTACTATGAGGCTAAGTGCTTAAGTGCTATAATTGCTTGAATGCCTATGGATGAAGGCTAATTTGCTTAAATTTGAATAATTTGAGTAAATGTTTATATGCGATTACTTTTTCAAATGGTACATTTCGAAACAATTTTGCAAACAAACATGAACCAGTGTTCCAATTCTTGCAACTTAGTCTATACTTGTGTATGCGAGCATCACATAGTAATGGTAGCCTAATAAACCGGAACAAGAGCATATAATGTACATAAGATTCATATCATGATTAGTAGAGGCCGATCTTTGATCAAACGAGTAGGGGTGCTCAATTCATGACCTTTTCCTCTCATACCAAAGTTCCTGAGTCGAGATAATCTTGGTGATGACGGACACGTGGCCTTTGGCATGAGTCATGGGTTTCCTAAATTTTTTCAAAACAAAATATTTAGGTGGCGATTCTGTATCTGGCAAAGTAGTCCATTTTTGGCAATTTGATTCAAAATAGAGTTTTCAAAAGATTTGTCAGATTGGGACTCTCTGGTGTTTATCTATTTTACATTGCACTTGTGAGATCAGATTCAGAACCACGGGAGTCCGATACTGTAGGGCTTATTCGCCTTCCAAGGGGGGGGCGAAAAAAGGGAGCTACAACGTCTTTTGAGGTGGGTCCAAGGGGTGACGTATTCCTTATTGCGTGGCAAGTCACACGGTGAAGACGGATCGTCAAAACCGTTTATGAGTGCATGGGAAGTTGACATCGTTTTCGGTTTCGTGAAATGGGAAGTTGAAGAGTTAAATATTAGTTACCTTGTTTTGGGTGTCCCATATAGAAATAATAAGAGAGGTTATATGAGTATATAAGCTTTAAGTTGACATACTTGTGATGGGGGGCACCCCAAGTTTTATAAAGAGGGGAGTTATGGACAAAGTGGGTTTGGCCCAAATCTGTCATACACGCACGTCAGCGCCGCTACCGCCGTCTAGTCGAGCTGGACTGGGTCGGGCTGGATGTGGGTTGTGAGTCGAGTTAGGTCCTAGCTTTAATTTTTTGGACAAAATCCATTCGAATTTTTTCAAATTCTTGCCAAAAAATTTGAAATCCTAACGGATTAATTCAAATTTTTGCGCCAAAATTCGAATTCGAATTTTTGCTTCCCAGAACAGTGCCTCTCCGGTCGCCTCTCTTCATTTTCCGCCAGTTCCAGGTTTTACACCTATTCGAAGGGTTTTCTACCCTTTCGAACAGACACCTCTTGGCTTATAAATACAAGATCCTCTAGCAGATTCAATTCATTCAATTTTTCCTTTTCCATTTTCTTTCTGTGCTACATTTATTCTTCATACTAGTTCTTAGAGTTTTAAGAGAGTTTCAGAACTCAGGTTTTGGTTTGTCAAAATTGATTATTTGTAGTGCTATTACAATATGTGTGAGTGATCATAGTATCCTCAGAGATAGACACCGATAATTCGTGAGCACCTATGCAGCGGTGAATCTGCCTTAAGGATAGAATGTCACACACTCGACTTGATCGTGATTTTGCTGTTCTAACTTCCTAGTGATTTTGTTGTTCTAACTTTCCGGTACAAGTGAGTAATTTATTTACTTTGCTTCAGTTTTTTATTTTTTACACTAAGATTGTTCCAACATTCCCTTTTGTGCCTCAGCCTAAGTTGTTTGTTATATGAATTTCGTATTTATTATAATTTTTAAATGGTTTATTTGGAAGGGTTAGGAACACAAATATGAAACAAAATGGTGAGACCCACATATATAATACCTCACATCATGTGGGACTCACCTTTGTCTCACATCTGTATTCCTAGAATTATTGTTATTCTAATGATTTTTTTGTAATATTCACCAATAGATTTTTATGCCTTCCACTGATAAATCAATAGCAATATTAATGTTTGCAAATAAATTAATATTACCCATCAGTCCATTCTAATGTCATGATATTACCTAGTAACCAATGCACAACTAACAGGTTATTTTAGTAATTTTTTTATTTTTTATAAAAAGATATACAGAAAAATAGAAAAAATGATGTAATAATTTATATTGACTTTTAGGCTAAAATTGAAACTTGTCAAACAAGAAATAATAGAAAAAATTACTCTGAATATTAAAGGGAAAAAAAAAATTTTGTCATATGATGGCAAACAGTTGGCTGTCCAACATTTGGCTGTCCAACATTTGGATTAAGATCAACAAAATCCATACTTTGTGGGAGAAATTAGCATTCAGTGATAATTTCAAAGTTTTATTTTAAATTAATGAAAAAAAAAATTAATAATTTAATTATTAATATTTGTAAATTTTACTATTGATTTGTAATTATCTCTTAAAGTTACACTTAATTATTATTTGGGGTAATTTCATTTCAGTGTATGTTTAAAAAAATTATTCACAAATTAATAATAAACTTTATACATAATAAAAAGTAAAAGTACAAATTTTACCATGTATATGTAATTAATTTTGACAAGAACCAGTGACATGTTATTTTTCTATTATTATTTCCCCTAAATTATTTCCTCGAATGTGACGAAGGTCAAAACAATTGACCTTGTATATGTGTGATCATCCTAGCCTTAAGTCTCATTTGAGAATAGGTTATTTTATTTAGGTATCAAATAGGTTATTTTATTATTTTTTATATTTTTTTAATTAAAATATGATAAAAAAATAATATATTTGGAATAATTTTTTAATTTTTTATAAAAAAAGTGAAAAAAAATTAGCCAAATATGAAACTTTTTAAGGTTTTTGTATAATTTGTTGACTTTTAAGTTTTTTTAGTGTTATTTTTAAGTTAAAATACATGACTGCCAAACGAAGTCTTAAACTATATTTCTTTGTTTAGCTTAGTTTTTAAAATTTATTTTAAATTTTTTTTGACCTTTAGTGATTTTTCGTTAGACCTCGTTTGGTAAGTAGCCGTTTTAACCTAAAAGTCAAAAAAGTTACTACAAAAATCAAAAAGCTTATAATCTATACTAAAAAGTCAAAGATTTCCTTTTATTTCTACTTTTTACACATCTTTTTGTAAAAAAATCAAAAAGTCACCCTAAACATACTAATTTTTTTTATCTCACATTTTAGCCAAAAAGTTATTAAAAGGGAAATTAATCTAGGGTCCCTCTCCCACTTTTTGTAATGGAAGAGATCCACAAAATTATTTTTTGATGTCTAAGGTCCCTAAACATATATCAGAGAAATTTGACTTTTTGTCTCTCCCCTCTCTCTCACTCTTCTCCTCTCACCCACTAGTCTTCGAGATCCAAGGCATTCAAATCAGTTACTCTGCTCCTCCACCCTCCTCTACGATCTTTTCTTCAACACCTTCTCCTCCGACTCCTCCGACTCCTCCCTCCACTCTGCCACCGTCGCAGACCTCCGCGCCGCCCGGATCCGCGACTCGGACTGTCTCTCCTTCTCCCACTGCCTCCTCAACTACAAAGGCTTCCTCGATCTCCAAGCCCACCGGGTCGCCCACAAACTCTGGATCCAGAACCGAAAACCCATTTCCTTCACGCTCCATTCCTGGGTCTCCGATGTCTTCTCCGTCGATATTCACCCGGAATCGGACAAACTGGTGGCGATCCGGTAGTACCCACGACTCGTGTGTTAGGAATCGAGGCTGCTATGGCTGCTTTCGGGCTCATCCATCATCATGTCGATTTTCAATTACATGCTCAGTTTTGTTACTCAGATGTTTACCGCTCATCTTGGTGCTTTAGAACTCGCGGGAGCTTCCATTGCCAGTGTTGGAATTCAAGGTCTTGCTTATGAAATCATGGTATAGATATACATGTCTCTGTTTTTTTTTTACTCTGTTTTATAATAATTCATCAATTCACTATTGTTGACTACTTGTTTTCTATGTATGTTTGTCTGTTATGTGTTTCTGCTTTGAACTAAAATTTCTCTGGGTTGGTCTAGAGAAATTCTCTAGTTTGAACTGAAATTTCTCTTGGTTGGTCCAGAAAAATTCTCTTATTTGGATTGAAAATTTCTCTAGATTGGTCCCTGGTATTAAGTTTTTTCAGCATAGAGTTTGTCATTTATCCCCTGATGTTGAATCGCAAGCTTTGTCCTTCATGATCATTTCTTTCCCAGAATTATCATCAATCTATTCTCAACATTTTCAACTCAGAGAATTTCTCTGGACCAGAATTTCTCTAACCAGAATTTCTCTGGATCAATGTTGAGAGACTTTAGACATTATGAAAATATTAGATGTCTTTTATACTATAAAGTCTTAATACCATGGACCCTAAAAAAAAAAACCCTTATTAAAATAGTCTATTCTCAAACGAGGTCATTTTTTTTTTAAATTCATAACAAAAAAAAAGAGGAGAAATTACCTTACATATTTATGAAAAGGATTGTGATTTAAATTATTAATATTTATAAATTATATTACTTATTTGTAATTATATTTTTAATTTTACACTGACATAAAATTTCCCCAAAAAATTATGTACAAATCTTTAAAAAAAAAAATTAATAATGATAAAAAAAGGTTCATTTGAAAGTCATTTTTTTTTTCAAATCTAGATTTGTCTCCGAGTATATAATTCAAGTGAATGATGCATCAGAGTGACTTCTATCAAACGAATTGCGTAGTCAAGCGAGGACGACTTTAACTAATTATTGAAGATTACTAATCATCATAATTCTTCATATTCATAAGCCATAATAATATCATATTCAAATGAATGAAGAACTAAAAAAATTATTGAATCAGAAGAGCTAAAATTATTGTACTCATAAAAAAGAAAAAGAAAGAAGACATAAATGATTGAAATACAAATCTAAATTGCAAAAATGTTAGAGATGAGGAGAGCCATAAAAGAACTAGGCATTGAGAGGACGCCACTCATCGTCCGGATATGAATCGCGAACAACTATTGCATAGATGGCGTAGATTATCCCAGGTATATAACCTAAGAGTGTCAGTACCACGCAAAGCAGGAACTCACACTGCCAAAAAAAAAAAAGTCAATACAAATTATACCTAAATTATTTCATTTCGAATCAGTTTACCGTCAACATTAGTTGCTGTTTATAATTAAATGGAAGTTGCTGACGTGATACTGAATTTTTGTTTGAAAATTTATTTTACTCCAAAAATTATCTTTAAGATGTCAACTAAACTCCCAAATGTCATTTTATTCAGAGATCTAATTGATATTTTGAGAATAATTTGGGGATAAAAAAAATTTCAAATTAAATTGGTGTCACATCAACAACTTCTATTTGATTACAACAATTGATGGTGGGGTAAATTTGACGCAAAATTAAATAGTTGAAGTATAACATTGATATTATTAAAAAAATATGAGTTAAATAAATTTTTGAATGATAGTTTGGAAAGTTAAATGATATTTTCTCTTTTGTATCTTCGGGAAGCCATAATTCATCCCAAAAAAAAAAAAGCACAAAAAAAATCAATGTATATCTCAGATTCATTTTGGGCATGATTCACACCATACTTGTCATTTAGCTCGTAGTTCTTTTATTCTTTTTTTTGCATTTTTTGTGAATATATTTTAATTTTGAGTCAACATTTTTTTAACTTTTTAAGCCCGTCTAAAGTAAACAATCTTAAAAATTAAAAACAATTTAGAAACTTTTTTACAAAGGCCTCATTTGGGAAGTGGCTATTTTAAAAGTTTTTTGACTTTTTGACTATTTTAGTAGGCTATTTTAGTTTTTGTGTTTGGAAAGATGAGATGGATTTTTATTTGAGTTGTTGTATTGAAAAATGTGTTGAAATAATGTTTGAAGTTAAAATGACAAATTTGTCCTTAAGATTACAATTTTTTAAATTGATATAAAAGGGCAAAATCGTAATTTACCAGTTGATGTAACAATTTGTCAATTGACAGTGTAGGCTATGCCTACACTGCCGGCAGCTGCAGCCTTTTTTTTTTTTTTGAAAAACTTTGAACAGTGAGACTTTTTGATTTATTTGTAATTTGAGACTATAATAGCCTCAACCTTTTCTTCCCAAACAGAGTCACCAAAGAATTATAAAAAAAAAAAAGTTTTTCAAGCTTTTTTTTTTAATTATAATAAAATGGATTTTCATCATTAATGAACTTAATTAAAAAAAATCCAAAATATGTAGATCATCTATACTGGTAGAAAACAAAAAATATGTAGATCATCTATACTGGTAGAAAACAAAATTTCTAAAAAATCACTAAATACGAAATAAAGCAGAAAAGAAAAACAAAACTCTCCCAAGGGAATTAGAATGAATGGAGACTACATCTCTCTCTTTTTTTATTTATTTATTTATTTTATTTTATTTTGGGTGAGTAAATGGAATACAAAATTAATAATAATAATAATAATAATAATACAGAAAATTTAGTGTGATGTGGTCCTATCACTCCAAAATAACAAACTCACTAAGTTAATTTCAATTACAAAAATATAACTTGTCATATCATTTTGGTAACAAATTTTGTTAAAATTCTATGTAGGAATATTATTTTCCTTTTTTTATACATTTTTATAAAAAAATAATAAATTTATAAGCATATAACATTACTGTATAGAAAGAGAGACAAAAGAGAAGGTCATACACTACAGCAACCATGTCTGAAGAAGACTCCCAACGGAGGAAGCAAGATTGCAAGTAGGATTTCCAAGAACATCCCACAACTACTTGCCATTTTCAACGGCACCACCTAATACAAAAAAGGAGACAGAGAAAGAGAGATCTGAATGATCACTTTGATAGAGAAAAGTTCAAGTGTAGAGTGTTATGGTTGAGGAAACAAATAAGATATATCTGATCTGTATGCTATATATGTGCTAGTATTTGACCAAGTAAAAGGTTTATCAGATAAAAAGCTCATGTGAGAGAGTAGATCCATGGATTTAGTTGGTCTTCAATATATACAGTTAGAGTAATATTACATAAACAGAAAATATGCATATAAAAGTTTATTCAAAATGATAATATTGTTTTGTAGTTCTATCACTTCAAAGAAAAAAAAGAGGTTAAATTACCCCCAACTTCTCTTTGAAATAAGTGTCCTTTATTTAATACCAAAATCTTTTTAGTAGACCTAAAGGTCTTGTGCGCCTTCCTTCTTGTCTTTTCGTTTTTTCTTTTTTTCTTTTAGTGATATCCGGCGACCAGCGGCTATGCCTTCCTTTTTTGCTTTCTCTTTCTAATAAGTAGTCATCGGCTACCACCATCGATTGAGGTTTCACTAGCAACCACTGACCAACAACTCCTTGCTTTGATCTCCTCAAATCTCCTCAAATCTTAGTCCGGTTAAAGAGATGAGTGGATAAGTTTCCAACGAAAGAGATGAGTGGATTTACTCAGATCTGAGTAGATATGAGTAGATCTACATCAGATCCGGTCAGATCTAAACAAAAAATAATTGTCGGAATACAATTTTCTCTCTATGTTTGTCTCTCTCCTTCGATCTTTCAGTTTTTTTACTTTTTCTTTGCTACACATTTCTTTTTTTCCTGTTTTAGTGAAGAAAATTTTCAAATTCTGAACAATTTTTTTATTTTAGTTTTAGTTACAAGTGGTGAAAATTGAGTAAAATTTTACAGTTTCAGTTTTTTTGGTGCTGAAATGAATCATGCTTAAAAATTGCAAAATTTGTGTAGTTTCATAATATGCTTTAAAACTGTAAAATTTTATAGTTTCATAACATACTTTTATAGTTTCATAACATACTTTTACTACAAAATTTTACAGTTTCATAACATATTTTTCAATTTAATTAATAAGAAGAAATGCTTAATAGAATCATACCTTGAAACTATAACAATTTTACAGTTTCAAAGCATGTTTTTCAATTAGTTCAATATAGAAGATTATTTGCTTAAATTCTACAAAAATTGAAAAATAACTTCTTCTTTTTTCTCATTATTATTGTTTATTGTTGTTACATTTTTTTTCTTTCAATTTATCAATATTTAGCACATTTTGTTATGTTTTTTCGCTCTAATTTCTTCATTTATATATTCTTTTTTTTCTGGTAATATTTTGGACATTCTAGTGAGTCTCCGGCGATGTTCTTGACATCTAACAACATTCTGGACATTCCAGCGACTTCCAGTGATGTTCAGAATACTTTAACGAATTTTCGGCAATACTCCAACGACTTTCCGATGATGTTGAACATTCCGACAAGCTTCTGGTGACTGTCTGATGGAACTCCAATAGTAATCGGATGTAGCAACACCTTTAATTTTTTTTTAATAAAAAAATAAGATTTTTTTGTAACAATTAAAAATATATGTAAAACTAATTGATGCAAGTGTTTTGTTTTGAGATTAGACAAATTTTGAACTTTGTATATGAGACCTACTGATAAGTGCCAAAAAAAAAACTTTAGGCCATAAGTTGATTTCTGAATCTTTGAGTCATTAGGCTCAAATTCTAATCTCTTTGGGCCAAAATAACGTAATTTGACCAAAATTACAACTATTTGTTGAAATAAACCTATTTGTCTATCTGTTAAAGTTCACCAAACTAACTATCTGTTGAAATGTGACACATATCACTCATTCAATACCATATTTGTTGAATATTCACACATTGCTCTACCTCAACATCACCACCTACAATCGCCAACCACCGATCACTGTCGCCGGTGACTTTTCCGACTAATTTTCCAGCACCGGTGACTTTTTCAGCAAATTTGTCAATGCTAGCGATTTTTTTTTTTACCACCTTTTCCAATGTGTCCTTATTACTAAATAAGATTTTACCTTCGATCTGATGCCTTATACCCAGTTTGGGATGGACTTTTCACTAATTTCTCCACAAAAAAAAAAAAAAAAAATTTGTTTGTTATTTTTAAAAATGCTATATCAATATGATTGCAAATTTTGTTTAAATTTTCTGTAAGAATATATTTTTTCCATATAATTAAGAAGAGTCAGCAGACTATTAGATAGGGAAACCCCTTCATTACACACCCCTTTTAAGTTGTTTATCATATGCACGTGTTTCGTATTTATATGATTGATATTATGTAATTTTTTTGGTAGATTCATAATAATTTTTGATTTAGAAATAAAGTTACTCATTTTTATGATAATATTAAATTTTTATTTTTTGTTTTTGTTTTTTGTTTTTGTGTGTGTAAATGTTACCCATCTTATTGTTCAAAACTGTTTTGATGAAAAAATGTATGATACTACCACAAAAATAAGTAATATTATCACAAAATGCCTAACTTCATTTTTTAACCATAAATTGTCATAGTTGTACTAAAATTTTGCCTAACGTATACCAGAAAAATGCGTAACAAGATGCACTAGGGGTGATTGCGGATTTGGTTGGGTTGGGTTGGGTGGCATCCCATCCACCGTCCATCCAAAATTAGGTGTATTGAAAAAAATCAATCCACATTCGCCTACTAGTTTGGCTGATGCAGATTGAGCGAGCCATGCAGATTGCGGGATGAATGTGATCGGTTTGGTGGTTTGAACTTTACAAATTTTGAGCCTTTTTTTGAATTATAATTCATAATTTTTACAATCTCCAATAACTAGTAATCTAAAGAAATATGTATTATTTCTCTATAATACGCCATGGCACCACATATGTATATTTTTTAGGTATTATTTTTCATTTTCTCAAAAATATATATTTTATTAATTTTACTATATGTTGTTACTTGTTAGTAGGTTTTTTTTTTTTTTTTTTTTTTGAACTTCATCTACAAGCAGATCAAGTTCATGCGGGTGCAGGATGATTGATCCACCATCCGAACTGTATCCGTAGATTTTGAAATATGTCATTTGCATCTGTCTGCTGAAAGACATGTATCCGTGCAAAATTAATCGGGTTAAATCAGTTCAATTGGGTTGGATGAGTTGGACAGATTCATAATCACCCCTAAGATGAGCAAAGTAGTAAAATGTGTACCCAAGGGATTTCGTGTAGAAAATTGCCATATTTTATCATGTTAGCCTTAACGTTAAAAAGGGTACAGTTAAGGGTGTAAAGTTGGCCCGACCTAGCCCGGCTCATGTTGGGCCTCTCGAACTCCCGCCAAAATTCAAGTCGGGCCGGGTCAACCTACGGGCCAAAAAATTAGGCTCAGGCCCAGACAGTATTCAGGCCAATGGGCCTGGGCTCGGGCTTAGGCGGGCCTGAACATTTTTTTTTAAATTTTTTCTACCAAAATTTTATTATTTTTCACTAAAAAAGACACTAGGCCACGGGCCGGCCCAAACGGGTGGACCCACGAGTCGGGTCGGCTTCAAAATGATGGCTTAGGCCCAGGGTCTCAGGCTGGGCCCGGACCCGGGTCCAAACAGGCTGAGCCCACCCAGGTCTCAAGGTGGGTTTCGGGCCGCCTATAGGCCACGGGTCATTTTTACACTCTTAGGTACAATAATGTAAATCCACTTAGTAGGAGAAACTTATGATATGCATTTTTAAAACGAGATGTCATAAATAAAATTACACTCTTTTCTGTGAGAATGTGTGCGCAAATTTGAAAAGTAAGGATAAAATGGTAAAATAACTCAAGATTCTATCTATTTGTAGTTTTGTTGATCTTATCACTTATAATATAGTTCTAAATATTGGTCCATTGATTGGTAAATATTTTACCATATTTTTCACTGTTGTATTATTTTCCTAATATAAATAATCCAAAAGTCATGTTTGTTTTACTCTCAGGATGGAATTAGATTAGCATTAAGTAAATTTCACAAAAATAATGTTTGTTTTGTAAAATTATGATAGGAATAAGAGTTTCATAGGACTATGTTTGAGGGGAATTAGTCATCCAACAAGATCTGAAAATATCATTTTACTTTTACCTCACAAAATTAATAGAATCAACTTCTATATATTGAGCATTTTATATAAATTCAAAATTTTAATACCAACTAATTAAATTTCACCAATCTAAGTATACAAACAAATATAATTTATATTATATTTCTAACCTAATATCATCATATTAAAGTTTCGTTTGGCATTGGCTAATATAAATAACTTTTTTGTGTTGAGACTATTTTAGCCTCGTTTGGTTTGAATTTTTTTAGCTTTTTTGAAATTTGTAAGAAAAAAAGTGTAATAATTATGGATTGGTTGTTATATTTTGTCTTATTAACTTATTTAGCATATTTTGTCATTTTGTGCTTTTTAAGCCCCAAAATGATAGTCAAACCAGGGCTAACAATCTTATCACTAAATCCTATCATAGTTATAATTTCATTCAAACAATCTTATCACTAAATCCTATCATAGTTATAATTTCATTCAAACAATCTTATCACTAAATCCTATCATAGTTATAACTTCATTCAACTAAATCCAACAAAAACATGATCTAAGGATGTCCTTGTTTTATATTTGAGAATTCTAATATGAAAGCTCTAATGATGTGAAGAGTGCCCATGTGATGGTAGGGCCCACACTTCTCTCTCTATTCAACAATGATTCATACCATTAAAAAAAAGATTACTAGTAACACTAATGCATTAAAAAATCAAGGCATAGACAGTGGACGGGGCCCACTGCCACAGAGCACCACTTTTAATTCTTTCGACCATTTCTCTCTCTCTTCCACCTTACTAGAACTCCATTTAGAGTTTTAATATTAGAGATATGTATCATTACTGATTGATATACTACGGTGGTATTTGTTTGGGAACAAATTAAAAAAAAAAAAAG